TGGGCTCAAGTGATCCTCCTGCCTTGGCCTCCCTGGATTACAGGCACTCTCAGATTGCAGGCATGAGCCACTGCCCTGGGCCTGTTTGGTGTTTGACCCTAAATCCCAGCTGCCAACTTGCTGCTGTCTGTTCTTTTCTTTTCCTTTCTATTTATTTTATTTTATTTTATTTTATTTTATTTATTTTTTGCTGTTATCCATCACCCTTTTCATGTTCAACATGTCTCTATCACTTTGTCATAGGTGAACTACTTGGAAACTGCACACCACAGCCTCGGTTTTCAACAGAGTTCAGTCACCTCTTGAGGGCTGTTCTGATTCTTATCTTGGTAGACTATCTCCTCAAGGATTTCTGCAGGTGAGTACGCTGGTGACACGATGCTGTATTCTTGGGTGACTACGCTGGTGACATGATGCTGTATTCTTGGGTGAGTACACTGGTGACATGATGCTGTATGCTTGGGTGAGTACACTGGTGACATGATGCTGTATTCTTGGGTGACTACGCTGGTGACATGTTGCTGTATTCTTGGGTGACTACGCTGGTGACATGTTGCTGTATTCTTGGGCGAGTATGCTGGTGATGTGATGCTGTATTCTTGGGTGAGTACACTGGTGACAGGTTGCTGTATTCTTGGGCGAGTACATTGGTGACATGATGCTGTATTCTTGGGCGAGTACGCTGGTGACATGTTGCTGTATTCTTGGGTGACTACGCTGGTGACATGTTGCTGTATTCTTGGGCGAGTACGCTGGTGATGTGATGCTGTATTCTTGGGTGAGTACATTGGTGACATGATGCTGTATTCTTGGGTGAGTACACTGGTGACAGGTTGCTGTATTCTTGGGCGAGTACATTGGTGACATGATGCTGTATTATTGGGTGAGTACACTGGTGACAGGTTGCTGTATTCTTGGGCGAGTACATTGGTGACATGATGCTGTATTCTTGGGTGAGTACACTGGTGACATGTTGCTGTATGCTTGGGTGAGTACACTGGTGATGTGATGCTGTATTCTTGGGTGAGTATGCTGGTGACATGTTGCTGTATTCTTGGGTGAGTACACTGGTGACAGGTTGCTGTGTGCTTGGGTGAGTAAGCTGGTGACATGATGCTGTATTATTGGGTGAGTATACTGGTGACATGATGCTGTATTCTTGGGTGAGTATGCTGGTGACATGTTGCTGTATTCTTGGGCGAGTACGCTGGTGACATGTTGCTGTATGCTTGGGTGTGTACACTGGTGACATGTTGCTGTATTCTTGGGCGAGTACGCTGGGGACATACTGCTGTATTCTTAGGTGAGTACACTGGTGAAACAATGCCCAAGAGCATGGCCAGGAGATTTGAGGAGCAGACACATCTGGTAAGCAGACTTCAGTTTCTTTTCAGTAATGTGCCCCTCTTATGCTCTCCTCGGGGTTTAGCATGCATCCCTTAAACAAAGAAAGCAGCCTCATATAAGCAGTGGTTTGGTGACTAGAGTGCCTCAGTGTGTTATTGCTGCTATAAGAAAATACTTGACCTGGGTAATTGATAAAGAACAGAAATGTACTTTCTCATAGTCCCGAAGGCTAGGAAGTCCAAGATCAAGGTGCTGGTGTCTGGCGTGGGCCTTCTTACTGTGTCTTCACATGTTGGAAAGCAGAAGGGCACGAGAGCATGAATATGCTGTCCTCACATGGCACAGAAAAGGATGAAGGCCCTCCCTCAAGTCCTTCTTGCATGCAGCACTAACTCATTCCAAGTACCTTTTGTTAGGCCCCACCTCCCAACACTCTTGCGTTGGGAGTGAAGTTTCCAATACATGAATTTTGGGGAACACATGCAGACCATGGCATAAAGGAACCTCTTTCCCCACATGGAGTACAACTGAGCAAGGAACCCAACTGAGAAGCTGGAAGAAGCAGCCTAAGAGGAGTGAACGCTCTGTCTGGGGAAGAGAGAAGACAACAACAGAGAGACTTGTAAGATTTTCAGAAATAATTGAGTAGGGGAAAAGATTCCCCACAAACATCAAGATGAGGATAGATTATTCTTATCTGGATAGGAAAGGAAAGGATATTGTCTGGGTGCACTGGCTCACACCTGCAATCCCAGCACTTTGGGAGGCCAAGGCAGGAGGATCACTAGAGGCCAGGAGTTCAAGACCAGCCAGAGCAACATGGCAAGACCCCCATCTCTACAGAAAGTTTAAAAGTTAGCTGGGTATGGTGACACACGCCTATATTCCCAGCTACCTAGGAGGCCGAGGTGGGAAGATTCCTTAAGCCCAGAAGTTTGAAGCTGGAGTAAGCTGTGATCACGTCACTGCAATCCAGCCCAGATGACAGAGGAAGACTTATCTAAAAAAAAAAAAGTGATCCCCAGTAATATAGTTTGGATGCTTCCTCCAAATCTTATGTTGGTGAGGCCTGCTGGGAGGTGTTTGGATCATGGGTATAGATTTTTCATGAATGGTTTAGCACCATCTCCCTGGTGATGAGGAAGTTCAAGCAAGATCTGGTTGTTTAAAAATGTGTGGCACTCACCGGGCATGGTGGCTTATGCCTGTAATCTCAACGCTTTGGGAGGCTGAGGCCAGCAGATCACCTGAGGTCAGGAGTTCGAGACCAGCCTGACCAATAGGGAGAAACCCCGTCTCTACTAAAAATCCAAAATTAGCCAGGCGTGGTGGCACATGCCTGTAATCCCAGCTATTCGGGAGGCTGAGGCAGGAGAATCACTTGAATCCGGGAAGCAGAGGTTGTGGTAAGCCAAGAGCATGCCGTTGTACTCCAGCCTGGACGACAAGAGCACAACTCCATCTCAAAAAAAAAACAAAAACAAATGTGTGGCACCTGTCCCTCCACCGGCTCTGTCTTTCTCAGCTGTCACCATGTGCCATGCCTGCTCCCGCTTTGCCTTCCACCATGAGTAAAAGCCCTCTGAGGGCCTCACCAGAAGCTGGGCAGATGTTGGTGCCGTGCTTGTACAACTTGCAGAACCATGAGCCAATTAAACCTTTTTTCTTTATAAATTACCCAGTCTCCGGTATTTCTTTATAGCAACACAAAAAAGAGCCTAATAAAGAAAATTGTACCAGGAGTGAGATGTTGCTACAAAGACACCTGAAAATGTGGAGGTGACTTGGGAACTGGATAATGGCCAGAGACTGGAAGCTTTTGGAGGGCTCAGAAGAAGAAAGAAAGAAGAGGAAAAGGTTGGAACTCCTTTGAGACTGGTTAAATGGTTGTGTCCGAAATAATTACAGTGGTAAGAGCCATGAAGTCCAGCCTGATGAGGTCTCAGGGAAATGAGGAACTTACAGAAAACTAAAGCAAAGGTCACACGTGTTATGACTTGACAGCGAGCTTGACTGTATTGTGTTTCATGCCCTAGGGCGCTCTGAAACTTTCTACTTAGGAGTGGTGACTTAGGATATCTGGTGGAAGAAATTTCTAAGCAGCACAACATTCAAGTTGTGGCCTGACTGAATCTAACGTCGTACTCTCACATGCAAGAGCACATACATGAATTAAAGTTGGAATTTATATTTAAAAGGGAATCAAAGTGTAAAAGTTTGGAAAGTCTGCAGCATGGCCATGTGGCAGAGAATGAAAAAGCATTATCAGGAGAGTAATCCAAGCAGGCTACAGAGCAACCACCTGCTAGAGATATTAGCATGACTCAAAACAAACAAACAAAACACAACCCAAGTGCTAATAGCCAACACAATGGGAAAAGACTTCAGACGCATTTCAAAGGTGTTTGAGACAGCCCCTCTCATCACTGACCTAGAGACCTAGGAGGACTGCATGGTTTCAGGGGCTCAGCCCAGGCCCTCACTGCCCTGCACAGCCTTGGAGCACTGCTCCCCACACATAGGCTGCTCCAGCTCCAGCCTCAGCTCAAAAGACCCCAAAGATAACTCTGGCTTCAGAGGATGCAAGCCATAAGCCTTGGTAGCTCCCATGTGGTGTTAAGCCTGTAGATGTGTAGAGTGCAAGAGTGAAGGAGGCTTGCGATCCTCTACCTAGATTGCAGAGGATTTATGAGAAAGCCTGGGCACTCAGGCAAAAGCCTGATGCAGGGGCAGAGCCCACACAGAGGGTATATACTAGGGCAGTGAAGAGGGGAAACGTGGGGCAGGAGGCCCACATAGAGTCCCCACTGGGGCACTGCTTAATTGAGCTGTGGGAAGGAGGACACCATCCTCCAGGCCCCAGAATGGTAGAGCCACTGGCAGCTTACATCTTGAGCATGGAGAAGCTGCAGGCACCCAACTCCAACCCATGAGAGCAGCTGCAGGGGTGAACCCTGCAAAGTCACGAGGGTGGAGTTCCTCAAGGCCTTAGGAGCCCACCGCTCACCCCAGTGTACCCTGGATGTGGGACAGGGAGTCCAAGGACATTACTCTGGAGCTTTAAGATTTAATGGCTGCCCTGCTGGATTGCAGACATGCATGGGGTCTGTAGCCCCCTCCTTTTGGCTGATTTCTCCCTTTTGGAATGGGAATGTTTACCCAGTGCCTCTACCCTCATTGTATCTTGAAAGTAAATAATGTGTTTTGGTTTTCACAGGTTCATAGGTGGAAGGAACTTGGACTTTGGACTTTGGACTCGATGTTGGAATCAGTCAAGACATTGGGAGGACTGTTGGGAAGAGATGATTCTATTTTCCAATGCGAGGACATGAGATTTAGGGGTCAGGGGTATAATGATATAGTTGGGATGTCCCCTCCAAATCTCTTGTCGAAATGTAATCCCCAGTGTTGAAGGAGGGGCCTGCGGGGAGGTGTTTGGGTCATGGGGGTGGATCCCTCATGACTGGCTTAGTGCCATCCCCTTGGCGATGAGTGGGTTCACTCAGATCTGGTTGTTCACAAGTGTGCGGCCCCTCCTCACCCCTTGCTCCCACTCTCACCATGTGGCGTGCCTGCTCCTGCTTCACCTTCCGCCATGAGGAAAAGCTCCCTGAGGGCCTCCCCAGAAGCTGAGCAGAGGTGGGTGCCACGCTTGTGCAGCCTGCAGAACCATGAGCCAATCTAACCTCTTTCCTTTATAAATTACCCAGCCTCCAGTATTTCTTTAGAACAAGGCAAAACTGAGAATACCGTGAGTAAAATACAAAGACCATGGATAACTTTTGAAATCTAAAAACATAAAATTAATATTATCTGGGGGAGTCAACACAGGAAAGATGAGAGCACTTGGGCAGAGGCTGTTGACCATTTGGTCACATGTGGTCAGCAGAGAGCAGGTGACCAGCACCCTGGGGCTTTGCGGGAAGCACCAGACAGCCTGGAGCTGAGGTTTTAATTGTAGGAGCCAAAACAAATGGGGAAAAAGACAAATTTAGCACACAAAGAAAGTAGATGCTCAACTGAGCCAGGAGGAAGTCACTAGCGAAGAGGGAAAAAACAGAGCTCTGGAAAAATAGTGTAAACAGTCACAAGGAAGGGATCCTGTGTCCTGCCTGACATCTGGACAGGTATATAAAGAGCCCAGCCTCAGGGAGCTCCACACCTGCACCTCCCTCTCACCTGCTCCTCTACCTGCTCTACTCTCAATCCACCAGAACCATGGGCTGCTGTGGCTGTTCCGGAGGCTGTGGCTCCGGCTGTGGGGGCTGTGGCTCTGGCTGTGGGGGCTGTGGCTCCAGCTGTTGTGTGCCCGTCTGCTGCTGCAAGCCTGTGTGCTGCTGTGTGCCAGCCTGTTCCTGTTCCGGCTGTGGCTCCTGTGGGGGCTCCAATGGGGGCTGTGGCTCCTGTGGGGGCTCCAAGGGGGGCTGTGGCTCTTGTGGGGGCTCCAAGGGAGGCTGTGGCTCTTGTGGGGGCTCCAAGGGGGGCTGTGGCTCTTGTGGGGGTTCTAAGGGGATCTGTGGTTCTTGTGGTTGCTCCCAGCGCAGTTGCTGCAAGCCCTGCTGCTGCTCCTCAGGCTGTGGGTCATCCTGCTGCCAGTCCAGCTGCTGTAAGCCCTGCTGCTGCCAGTCCAGCTGCTGCAAGCCCTGCTGCTCCTCAGGCTGTGGGTCATCCTGCTGCCAGTCCAGCTGCTGCAAACCCTGCTGCTCCCAGTCTAGCTGCTGTGTTCCCGTGTGCTGCCAGTGCAAGATCTGAGGCTCTGGACTTAGGTCTCATGTGAGTCCTGCTAACCCCATATTCTGAAGCTGTGATCTGTCCTTCATCGTTGAGCCCCAAACCACTGCCCAGAGTCCATTCCTCACTACAAGATGAAGCCATATCTGGCTGCCTTTTCCTAAGGAGAGTCCACCCTAATCAATGTCCATTGTCTCTCCTAACAAATTCTCTTCCCAAGTCAACTGCAACTGCAGTTGAATCACCCCCCTCGCCTGCTAGCCTCGCCTTTGCTTGTCTCTTCAGAGGCCTGAGCTCCTGAACCCACTTGCAGTCCTGTCTTTTCCAGCTGGAAGTAGCTGGGCATGAGCGTCCCACCTGCAACAAGGTGGGTGTTTAAGAGGCTTCCTTGGAGTCCCTTTGCATGTCCAACACTCTGCTTTATCTTAAACGAAAAGTTGCAAACTAATAAAAATACCGTGCCGACAAACTGAAACACATATCTTGCTGACTTCTCTGTTGTTCGGCGTCATTACTATGGCTATAGCTATTGTTTTCTTTTTCTTGTATTTCGGACTGTGTGGGTCTGATGGTGATGTTGGTGGAAGGTGCTAGGATGGGGCTTGCTGTCTCCCCTGCCTCTCATCTCCTTCCCGGCTGACCCCTCTTTTCTCAGATCCCTTCTCTTCCTAGATCTTTCCAGCTATTGATCTGATGGAGACAGGACTGTTCCTCAGACCAGGGCCACAGAAGCAGAAGGGGCTGCTGAAAGCTCTGGGGGGTTCAGACTTGCCTCCTTTCCCTGGTCCAGACCTCGACCATCTTCCTTTGGGAAGTTTTTGTACCCAACTTACTCTGATTGCCTTTGTTGTTACACAGCCCGTTACCTCTGTAAATAAACACTCCTAACACCAAGCCAATATTGCCTTTTAAGAATTCTGAAAGGGCTGAGTGTGGTAGCTCACGCCTATAATCCCAGCATTTTGGGAGGCCGAGGCAGGCAGATCATTTGAGGTTAGGAGTTCGAGGTCTGCCTGGCCAACATGGTGAAACACTGTCTCTACTAAAAATATAAAAATTAGCTGAGTGTGGTGGCATGTGCCTGTAATCCCAGCTACTTGGGAAGACTGGGCAGGAGAATGTGCTGAACCTGGGAGTGGGGTTGCGGTAAAGTCGATTGTTTAGCCCACTGCACTCCCAATCTGGCGACAGGAGGAAGACCTGGTAAAAAAAAAAAAAAAAAAAAAACAAGTATTAAAGAATTGAATTATTTCAAGTTATTTGGAAAACACATGAATTATTGGTGGATATGTCCTAAGCATAGAAAGAACACAAAAATAAAATTCCTAAGCTGTTTTTAGAAGGTCATGGTGGCCATGGAGTGATGGTTGATATCCTGCTGTGAATGTTTTGTATGGAAAGACAAATCATAATAGGGTTGGTATCAGACTGGAATTTTGGTGGTGGAACTGATGAGGTTAAGTAAAAACCTTGTCATCCTGAATTTGAATTAGACATATCGATATGAAATCATGATGTATTTTATCCAAATAAAAACAGTTTCCTCCTCCACTGATAGACTCAGAAACAATGAGCCATCCTGTAGCAGTGAACACGCCCAGCACCAAGACTGTTGTCTTCAAATGCTGTTTATTGTATCTCCCTGGAACCTGGCTTCTCTGGTGAATGGGCTGGAAGTGAACAAGATGAATCTAGAACATCTTGTCATCCCAGAAAGCAGAGATGATAACTAAGACTAATGGCAGTGGTCACTCAAAAGAACTACAAGAGTCAAGCTGGGCCAAGGTGCTCACGCCTGTATCCTAGCACATTGGGGGGGGCTTGAGGCAAGTAGGGATCACTTGAGGTCAGGAGTTGGAGACCAGCCTGACCAACATGGTGAAACCCTGTCTCTACTAAATACAAGAAATTAGCCAGGTGTGGTGGTGCATGCCTGTAATCCCAGCTACTTGGGAGGCTGAGGCAGGAGAATCCTTTGAACCTGGGAGGCAAAGATTGCAGTGAGCTGAGATGGTGCCATTGCACTCCAGCCTGAGTGGCAAGAGCCAAACTCTGTGTAAAAAAAAAAAAAAAGATAAGAGGCAAACCTGGAGAAACTCTCTGTAGACAGACTTAGGACAATCTGAACACCAATTTCTTAACTGGACTGATACACATCAAGTATGTTTAAACTAGGAGTAAGTAATCATACACAAAAAATAATAATACAGATACTATGCAAACTGTAAAACTTAGTTGCCTGTAGAGGATTCTAGGAATCAATGCATTATTTTGAAGATGACTAAGTAAAGGAAAATAATCAGGCACTTATTCTATCTCTGATAGACAAACTTTATCTTATGGTAACAAAATTAGAGGAAGTATTCCAGTTTATAAATAAAGAAGAAATCATAGAATTAGAAACTTAGTATTTTGTAACCCCTAATGAAATAATGGGACTACCAGATTTACTGCATGCAGCCAAATCAGTGGAAAATGTATAGCCTTAAATGCATATGTTAGAGTAAAAAATAAAAGTTTAAGCTCATTTAGCCAAAAACCTATCTATAGGACTGGCAGTGTTGCCACACAGAGCACAGAACGGGGTGGTAATTAGGGCTCTTTATAGGTATCCTGGTTCTCCTCTCCTTCTGGGAACAGGTCAGACGGCAGGTGGTAGAGTGGCCCTTCCATGTGCCCTTTCTAAGTCAGGTGTGACCGTGTGATTTGCTTGCCTCAGTGGGAAGAAGTCTGAAGCACCTGCTGCAGTTTTCTGAATTCTCTGTTTCTTCTCCTACCATGACCACTAATGTTCCAAGCACTGGCTGCTGCTTCCGACTGAGTCCCAGAGTGACGAAGCACAGAGCAGAGTCACCAGCTGACGTGCAGTGGCCTGCGAGGTGAACAAGAAGCAAGCCTGTGTCGTGTGAAGTCACTGAAACGTGGGGGTGGCTTGTTTGGGCAGCATAATTGGTCCATCCTGGCTGACCCAGAAACCAACCAGAACAAAAACATAGCATTGAGACCTTGGTTTATTGGTCAGGAGGTGGGTGGAAAGGAAAGTTATCAGAGGCGAGAAAGGTAGTTGTTATGTTTGGTAAGACTGTCCCAGATCGTGTATCCCTGAGGGAAGAGTTCAGAAAACACAAGGCCCCTCCTGCGTGGGTTGTTGTGGCTGCATTTATCAAAGCATTACAAGAACAGGGTGAGCTCGAAAGAACCGGCTGGTTTACCAGCCAGGGGGAGAGTTCTAGAAAACCTGGAGAAATCTGGGGAGCTACAGAGTTCTCAGTTCTGCCTGGTAAATGATAACACTTAGAAGGCCTTTGAGCAGCAAAGGACAATTAAAGCTGACATGAAAGGAACCTTCTTTAAGGGTACACTTTGATGAGATTCCATGAGGGTGGACCACACTGCAGGTACGGAGTTGGTGGCTGCATCCAGCCTGGCCAGTGGGGCAGGAGGGGCTGCTGTGGGGTCAGTGGGTCCAGAAGAAAATGCTGGAAACTTCTCCCTCCATGGCTCACTGGGCGTTCTCTTTGCTTGGCCTGTGGCTCCCGTGGGTAAATTCATGTCTTGCTATGTGATGAAGAGATTTCTCCAGGGAAGAAGGGGAGGTGTTGGGCCCAGGAAGGACCCAGTGACCTGCAGATCAAAGACGGCCTCCCTACCTCAGTAATGGGCACCAGAGAAAAGCCTGCTGCCAGTCGTCCATTGGAAATGGGCCCAACAGAACCAATGCTGTCTGTGCTTGGGGTGTGGGGGGTAGAAGAGAAAGCAAAAGAAAACCGAAACCTTCCTTAATAATGAACAGATGACACGTGATAGTTAGCAAGATATAGGACACAGTTGTAACTCTCCGTGAAATCAACAAAGAGAAAATCGAGCGTTGGATATTTCATGCATAATTTTTGATAAAATCATAGGATTGCCTGCTGCAACATCCTTCATTTCACAGTTGACCATTACAGAAAGATGGTGAAGGGAGTCACATTGCAAAAACAACTGAGCTCCTTCTCATCCTTCACGAACGCCTCTCTTTGAGGTCAACCCACCCCGTTGGGAGGCCCCTATCTTTTCTCCTTGGCCAGCTTCTCTTTCAGGGTGAACTGCCTGATCTTCACTGCGGTGGCCTTGCCTGGCTCCCACCAGAGGTTCTCCAATGTCACTTTCATTGACATCACAGAATCCTACGTTTCTTTTTTTTGCAAGCATTGCAATTTTACTTACAATTTGCATTGTAAATATGACTGTGGAAAATTTATTTAGGAGAGCTGGTTCTGCAAAGACATGGAAGAGATCTGGGAGGGGGTGTGTGGGAATAAGAGATATCATTAAGTAAATGAGCTGCTTGATGGAGAACACTTTCAGAAGTGGTCAGCCTGGGCTGAGCATGGTGGCTCACTCCTGTAATTCCAGTTCTTTGGGAGGTTAAGGAAGAAGGAACACTCTAGCTCAGGAGTTCAAGACCAGCCTGGGTGACATAGCAAGACCCCATCTCTACAGAAAAATTAAAAAAATTAGCTGGGCATGGTGGTGCACACCTGCAGTCCTAGCTAATGGGGAGGCTGAGGTGGAAGAATCTCTTGAGCCTGGGAGGTTGAGGCTGCAGTGAGCTATGATTGCACCACCACACTCCAGCCTGGGTGACAGAGTGAGACCCTGTCTCAAATAAATAAATAAATAATAAAATACATGGTCAACTTGTTTACTTGTTTAATTATTATTCTTTTTCTTCTTTCTTCTCCTCTTTTTTTTTTTTTTTTTCAATAGGGGTAGAGTCTCACTGTGTTGCCCAGGCTGGTCTTGAACTCCTGGGCTCAAGGGATCCTCCTGCCTCAGTCCTCTCGAGTAGTTGGTTATTACAGGCATGCACCACTGCTGCTAGTGAATATTTTCCAAACCTGATGGGTTTCCCACCCCCAGGAATCTTGGATAATGAGCATGAGGGAGAACCTGCATGGAGCCTAGAGAGAGCTGGCTTGTGGAGTGGCCACCAAGGGACCATCTTAGCAGGAATCTCTGGTCAGAGTGATCGGGGAACCAGACTCAGTCCTGAAGCAAGCAGGGGACACCTTCAGCTCACGGACAGCAGACTGTGGAGCTGCTCAGCCTCTGTAATTACATAGTCCAATTCTTCAGAGTCATCTATGTATGTATGTATGTATGTATCTATCTATCTATCTATCTATCTATCTATCTATCTATCTATCTATCATCTATGTACCTCCGTATCCATCTATGTTTTTGTTGTTGAGATGATCAAGTTGGTTCTAAAATTTCGTTGGAAAAGCAAAGGAATTGAAAAAAAAGAAAGCAATCTTTAAAAGGAAGAATGAAGTTGAAGTCTCACAATACTTGTCTTCAAAATCTCCCATAATGTCACAGTGACGCTGTGTTTGCATTAGGAAGCAGCATACAGACTGCAGAGCAGGACACAGGAAAAAGCTTGCCATAGTGTCGGCTGATTCTCATTAA